TATCAATATAAAACAGTTGAAAAAAGTCATCAAAAATCGGGATAACTAAACAACTGTATTTCGGTAATTCAAATGATTCGATTATATTTCTTGTAATATGGTTTAATGGTACTTCTGGATCTACAAATAACATTTTTTCTAGCAATTCATATTCTGCTTTGTTAGTTCCGTTTTTGTTTTCAGACTTTAATTTTTCTAATAAAAGTTTCCAAATTATTAATTCGTACCCTTTATAGGATTCTTTGTTTTCAATTTTTATTAAAAGTAAATTATTATTATCAATATTATTAGAAAAATATGAATATATTTCATCTTTAAAAGCTATTTCTTCCAAAGATTCAGAAGAGGCTTTTATTTTAGAATCAATGTAAATTGTACAATTAATTTCAGCGATATATGCTAGTAAATTTTTTTCAGTAAGATAAGTTCCTTCTGAAGCATTATACCACGTTTTGATTTTATCCAAAATAATAATCATACCTAATAGTGGGGACATTACATGACTTACTATTTGCATTTTTTCAATTAATTTTTGTATTTTTTTGTCCAAATCATTCTCAGATATTGGTACAAGTAATAATTTACCTAAACTGGATCTAACTACATTTTCGGGAATCTCAGGTTTATTTTCAGAAATGTGTTTTTCAAGATCTTCATTTTGATCAAAAGAGTAACATTTAACATCTTCAAAAGGAACAACCGAATTTTCTTTAACAAATCTTTGAATTTCGTTACTCAGAAATTTGTTTATACTTTCAGGTGACTTACAATATATGCAAATAATGACATTTCGAATATTGTCACTTTTAAATTTAACATTTTGAAAATCTGTTAAATATTTGAACAAATTAAATTTATTTATTTTTTGGTCAACATCTATTTCCGGAAAATGTATTGCTTGAACTAAAGTGGTGTCTTTTGTTGTTTCATAAACGACATCATCAAAATTGGCAGCATCTTCATTTTTGGTAGATAATTTAAATTTTTCAAGTCTGTCGGTACCATCTAGTAGATATAGCAGGTTTAGTTTAAGTTGATAGTCTTGAAAACCTGAATGAAATGCTTTTCTCATCGTCCTACAAAATAACTCTAATTTAATATACAGTGGGAAGCGGATTAAATTGCTTTTACATTTTTAAGCTATTGCATAGCTTTTATCGCGGGCTTTCAGCGGCGACCGAATTAAGAAATTTCGTAACACCGTAACGAAAAAAAAATAACACCCCCACTCCGACCGGCACAGCGGTACGGCGTTATAGCCATGGAAAGTTTTATCCAACCCTATTCGTATTAGTATGAAGCGGAGTTAAATATACGTCTGCGGACTGGAACATTTATGCAATACAAGAACTAGAAGAGCTTCCTCTGGCTTCTAATAAATTGGTATCACAAATGTTCCCGGCTGGCGTAAATATTAGATATTAATTTTTAAGCTATTGCGAAAAATCGAAAAATCGAAAAATCGAAAAATCGAAAAATCGAAAAATCGAAAAATTCAGTTTCCGAGAAAAAAATCAAATATGAAAATGAAAATAAATGCATTCCTCAACAGCACTCTTCTTAATATAATCCCGAAATTTAAACTCTTAATGTCTTGGTAATGATTTTTTAAAATTCGCCAAAATTAGTGGCTAAAACTCATCGTCAAGTGCTACCTTCTGGTGTAACGCGTTTGTAACTATGGTATCGTACACTCTGTCATTATTCGTTTCTTGCAACAATTTACACCAGTTTACACCAGAAGATAGCACTTAACGAGGCGTTTTAGCCACTAATTTTGGCGAATTTTAAGAAATCATTAACAAGACATTAGGAGCTTAAATTTGGGGATTATATTAAGAATAGTGCTGTCGAGGCATGCATTTATTTTCATTATGATATTTCAAAATTAACGCCATTTTAGTTTTTTTCGGAAACTGGAAGGAATTAAAATATATGCATATTCTAGATATTATTGCCTAATTTATTTTGCCAAAATTTAAATATTTTGAAATATTCTTGTCCAAAAATTATAAGAGGTGTGATCACCTTAAGATTAAAAGAGAATAAGCTTTAA